AAAATCAACACACAGGAAATAATCCGGAGATTACGGGAGGCATTAACACTGTTGATTTAGGCTTATGGCATGAAATTGAGAGACCAGAGATTAGTGGGAAGATGAGCAAAGGTATCAGCATTGAGGAGTTGAGGACAGACCTTCCTCCTCCTGCAGCGGAAGAAATGGTGGGTAGAGGAGGCCAGGTTAGAGAAAACCAACTGATCCAGGGCAATCAGGGGTGACCTATCCCATCAGCTGCTCTTAAAAGTTTGACACTAGGACAAAAGAAACAAAAAATAATGTTCTTTGCACTTTTGTTTTGCCTTGGGTTCCATCTATCTGGAAATAGATTTTTAATTAAGAACTTGGAGATAAGAAGTCTTGTCATCTGTGAGATTTCTGTTTTGCAGCACTGAGAGATCCTCTGATTAAAGACTGTGGAAAATAGCGAAAAGTTTAGGTAATTATCTAAATTATTTGCCCCCACCGATCTACACGTGTCTCTCATCTGATAAGCAGTGATGTCAACGGAAATTTATAGTCCTGATATTTTCACTCATAGGACATATTTGGCTGTGTCTGAGTATTTTCATTACGCTTTAGGCATATTTGTAAGAAAAGCACAATTATTTCAAATTTGAAAGTACTGCCTCTTTTTTAAAAATGAATCATGAGGTTCTCGAGGGCTGAGTCTGAAATACCAGCCTCTGATGCACTATCTAGCACATAGTAGGTGTTCAGGGAACGTCTGCTCAGTGACCAGAGGTTGTCTAGTCTGTGAGGAGGAAAAAACTTTGTTTTTAACTCAAAGAAAGTTCAGTCAGTATGTTGCATCTTCTAAGAGCAACTTGAGAGCCAGTTATTGAAGTAATAATGAGCTTAGGTACTAGGACAAGGGCTTCGAATCTTCAAGACTAAAAAGAATTTCTATATTTAAAATCCCTAGATAGTCGAGCTATTTTTAGAACCAGTCTCTCTTTAATAGTGGCCTAATTTGGCATTTCTGAAGTTTAGGTTTCTTTTTATAAATCTAGAATGTCAGTTAAAGCACATGTATATAGGGGTACAAGACAGTGTGCTCAGAGATGCTCCGAGGCCGTGGTTCTCCATCTGAGGTCAGTGAACCATCTCATTAAAAATGAGACTCTTAGACCTTTGAAATGTGAGACCCTCTACTAAAGGAGAAGCTAGAAAAATAAAAACAAATTCTAAAATGTTGCAATAATTAAATCCAAGTGGCATCCCAAAGAGAGCTTATGATCTCTTTGGGAGGCAAGACACAATTCAAAACAAAAGATAAGCAAGAAGATATAGGAATATGCAGCGCACAAGAAATGAGAGATTCTGACAGTAAATTACTAGAGAAGTAAAAATTACCCAAAACTAGAGTGATCTGGAAAAGATTTGTACCGTTGAATTTTAAGGTGTTGGACAGCATTTCCTCCAATTCAAGGGCTGCATTTTTTGGTGTATTACCCTGGCATTTATTCAGCAAAGAGACCTTATTTATCATTAGTTGTTCCTAAACATCTTTGACTCCCATAGGGCATATCTGAGAATTTATCATTTCTCTCCAGGGCATTAGTAGTTTTATATTTGCTGTGTTAGTAATGGAAGGTGGCACGTGGTGGAAATGAATGTGAATAAGTGAGAAACGAAACAAGAAAATAAAAGACAAAACTGGTCCTGTAGGAATGTCTTAGATCAAATAGAAGACATTTTCACTTATGAAAGAGGAAACAAAATGGAAGTGGACCTTGTGGAACAGACGTTTTATTCAGGAAAATGTCACCTCAGTTTCTGCTGCGGCAGAGTGGGGTGGGCATACAAAGCAAGCTCTTGTGAGACCAACACTGGCTCAAGGAGGAGAGGGTACCCCTCTCTGGATTTGCATCTACCTGGCTTTCTCAGCTCTTCTGGGATGGAATTCCAAAGCCAAATCCCTTTGCATTTTTATACCCTTTCTCCCCTCATAGGGAATTAGCTATGAATGATAAAAGTCATTAAATATTGGTGTAAGATATTTCTTTTGGAAGAAAACATTTTTTCCACCTCTTTATTGTAAATATGAGAACAAGGCAGTGTCTTTCTGTTCATATCAAAATTTCATGTGTCTGTCTGTAGCCTACTTGGTTCTTGTGTGTGTGTGTGTGTGTGTGTGTGTGTGTATTAAAGCAAGATCAGGAATTTTTTCCCTTGAAATGTGCAATTGCCTTGCGTCTAGGGCTTGTTAATGGATTTGAAACTTTTGCTGAATAGCATACAGCAATCCTCCTAAATAGAAAATGTATTATTATAAACTATAATGTTTCCTTGTAAGCATAAAGTCATTTGAACTCCAGTCCATCCTTCTTCAAAGTTCCTTGGAGTCGGTTCACAATGATCCTCCCTCAACTTGAAGGAATGTGCCACGTTTATCCAGAGGTAAACTTAGAGGGAGACCTATGCCTCAGACTCTCTCAACAGAGCTTGTGAAGAAATTCTCTGTCCTTCTGTGACAGAGTCAAAAAGACAAAAACTGACAAGTATCCTCTTTCTGTTTTTATTTCTTCCTTATTTAATTAGTTACTTGCTGAAGCTTGAATTTGTTTCAATCCTTCTGTCTCATCACTCTGAGTGATGTTGTGCTCTAAATAAAATGGTCCCCACCCAGCACAGTGATCTTTAGGTTTCTGTTGCAGAACTATATTTTAGACAGAACGCATTAGTTCTGCTTACAAGAATGTATTATACCTACATTAGCCATGGTTTACTGAGTTAATGAACTGTGGAGACAAAGAATCATCACCATCACATGGTGGAGTGACTGTGGTTCCCTGCATTCGCCTGGTCTGTCCCATTTTACTGAGCTTACTTCAGAGTTGTCTGTGCACTCCCATGCTGACCAACACTTGCTATCATTCTGTCAGATATGTATGTGTGTATAATTGTTCAATTCCTTGGCTCCAAGAATAGATTTTTTGACTGGACAAAGACTGCTGGGATACTACATCCTCCGCAATGCTATTTGCAGACAAATGCCAAGGATAGCCTATGACTCCTGGGTCCCACTGCACAGATTTTCCGTTATGCAATACCCTTGGAAATGTGAGCGCCGGTAATGCCTGGTGTCATCAAGGCCAGTGGTGGCACATTCATTCGTGTTTTCTGGAAAGCCAGATTTGTTAACATTGGTGTTTGAATACAAATATCGTGGCTGTCCCTGCTTCCTTGCTTTGTCAATCCATCTTTTCTGGGTGACAGAGGCTTAGGGGAAGAATCAGTTTTTCAGGTCTTGTCATGAATTTAGCTTTCTTTTTCTTCATACAGTTTTAACCCTTGCCTGAATTCTTAAAAAAGTTAGGAGATGTGTCTTGTCATGTAAGAATATTATCTCTGTCTCTTTTCTCTTTTTATTGTTTTTCTTTTGCTTTTTTTCTGTTGTTGTTATAGGCCTAACTCCACCCACCACTCCTCCTCACAAAGCCAACCAGGATAATCCTTTCAGGGCTTCTCCAAAGCTGAAGTCCTCTTGCAAGACTGTGGTGCCACCGCCATCAAAAAAGCCCCGGTACAGTGAGTCTTCTGGTACCCAAAGCAATCACTCCACCAAGAAAGGGCCCGAGCAATCTGAGTTGTATGCACAACTCAGCAAGTCCTCCATGCTCGGCAGTGGACACGAGGAAAGGAAGGCTAAGAGGCCCAGTCTACGGCTGTTTGGTGACCATGACTATTGTCAGTCACTTAATTCCAAAACGGAAATAGTCATCAATATATCAAAGGAGCTCCAAGACTCTAGACAACTAAATTACAAAGATGCCTCCTCTGACTGGCAGGGGCACATTTGTTCTTCCACGGATTCAGACCAGTGCTACCTGAGAGAGACTTTGGAGGCCAGCAAGCAGGTCTCTCCTAGCAGCACCAGAAAACAGCTCCAAGACCAGGAAATCCGAGCAGAGCTGAACAAGCACTTCGGTCATCCCAGTCAAGCTGTTTTTGACGACGAAGCAGGCAAGACCAGTGAACTGAGGGACAGTGATTTCAGTAATGAACAATTCTCCAAACTACCTATGTTTATAAATTCAGGACTAGCCATGGATGGCCTGTTTGATGACAGCGAAGATGAAAGTGATAAACTGAGCTACCCTTGGGATGGCACGCAATCCTATTCATTGTTCGATGTGTCGCCTTCTTGCTCTTCTTTTCACTCTCCGTGTAGAGATTCAGTCTCACCACCCAAATCCTTATTTTCTCAAAGACCCCAAAGGATGCGCTCTCGTTCAAGGTCCTTTTCTCGACACAGGTCGTGTTCCCGATCTCCATATTCCAGGTCAAGATCAAGGTCCCCGGGAAGTAGATCCTCCTCAAGGTAAACCTTGTTAAAACCCACGCAGCAACTAAGATGTTTCCCAGGAAGTCAAAGAAAGAATTCAAACCCCAGACTCAGCCCACTCCACCCACCACTGCTGCATTCCCAGTGCTGCCAGAACTAACGTGTTATCCGTTTCTTTCTCCCCATGTTCTCTTAAAAAATCTCAGCCCAGAGCACGGTGCTTTGAGCCAGTTAGATCAGAGAGAGCAATTTGTAAGAAACTTGCTCATTTAACTTTTTCCATTACCTGGAGAGCTGCCCTGTGCCAGGGTAGTCAAGATCCGTGCAAGATAAAGCTGACAGTGTACCGGCCCTGGTGCTGTGTTAACATCAATAAGAGGTGCGGGGAGAGAGCACCTCACTCCCAGGCCGAGCTGACAAGGGAACATCTCACTAGCAGCTAGGCAGGAAAGGCCAGTTTTTGTAGTACAGTATTCAAGAGGATGTTCAGTAGTGCTGATAAACTCGGGATAAGTGGCAGTTGCAAATGTTCCTTTTGTTTTTCTCTTCTCTCCCAGGTCCTGCTACTACTATGAGTCAAGCCACTACAGACACCGCACACACCGAAATTCTCCCTTGTATGTAAGATCACGTTCAAGATCACCCTATAGCCGTAGGCCCAGGTAATAAGGCATGTCCTTTTCCTTCAGCTGCTTTCATCCCTTCCTTTGTAAATGTCTGAATGTCTTTGGACAAGACGTTATCCAAAACCCTTCTCCCTTCCCCACAATGATTTCTTCTGCTTATGCAAATGGAGGTGGTTGACTTAATGATGAAGTTATGTTTCCCAGGTATGACAGCTATGAGGCATATCAGCACGAAAGGCTGAAGAAGGAAGAATACCACAAAGAGTATGAGAAGCGGGAATCTGAAAGGGCCAAACAGAGGGAGAGGCAGAGGCAGAAGGCAATTGTAAGCAGCTTGAAGCTCACTTTCTTTTTATTTTATTATTTTTTAAATTTTTAATTAATTAATTAATTTTTTTGATTTATAAACAAAAGATATTTATTTTGGCTCATGGTTCTGGATGATGGGAGATCAAGATTGGGTAAGGATGGTTGTTTTTTTTTTTAGTAGAGCAGCAAACAAACTAAAGCTAAGGCTCTATTAAAATAGGCAATATTCGCTCTCTTGGTTTTAAAATATCAAGAAATTTTCATTCACTCTTAACACAGCTTATTGGAAAAAAAATGTTAAGTTACTATATTTCTCATCACGGCTGCATCTTGAAGTTCATTACTATTTTCAAGTTTTGTTTTGGAAAGATGGAAAGAGTAGTGAACACCAGTTTGAAAGGATGAGATTTTCTCACTGTTTCCTATTGCTTCTTTCTGTGAGTGGACAAGGAGGAAGTCTGTTTGGGTTCAGATTTCACCTTTCTGATAAACACGAGGATTGGAATGTCCATAATGAGACTGGGTTTTAAAGTCTGCCATAGAGAGAGACTTGCTAAGAGAGTCACCATTTCTTACTTGTCATGGGAACATCCTAAAGGATGGTTGATGCATTCACCTTTCTGGCTGCTAATAAGTACACTTTACTTCAGCTTCCTACTGCTGCTTAGCAATCTAGACCTTGGATGGCAAAAATGTAGCACTCCAATTGTCAACATCCAGTACATGCTTATGTCAGACACTCCTAATCAACCATAGAACTCTTTCTCTGAGCCCCCCAGAGCCTCAAAGTCTTTCCCAATGTGGTCCTTCAGGGGGCCATGGCCAATCAATAAGCTAGAGCATGACTTTGGTGCATTGCACCTGCTGCTGTCTGTGCAAGCTGCTCAGAGTCAGTTAAGTGAAAATCACCATGTGACATACCTTGTATATAAGCTAATCAATGCTTAGAGAAATGAGTTTTTAACTATATAGATTGGGTTTCTATGGTACTTTTAAGAAAACCTAATATAGCAACAAATTTTTGAAGAACTTTTATAAAAGAGCTGGAGTCAAAAATCAGGCATTAGCAACAGTTACCAGCTGGAGGAAAAAGGTTAAATGAGAGGTTTGTTAATCACAGGCACTCAAGGAGAAAGAAGGGAGAAGTACTTGAACAGTTAGTGCTTGGTGCCATTTAACTCAATCTACCTAAGACTGAATAAAAGGCCTTGTGCAAATTGCATTTTTCCTCATTTTTCTCAACTTTCAAATGAGATGTGATATTAAGATTTGCCAGAGTATCATTAGTTTACACCCACGAAGACTAATGAAAATTAAAATTTCAATTTTTCTAATATCACTGTATTTAATTAATGGCCAATTCAATAATTATAATAATGCACATTTATACAGCACCATATAGTTTACAAATCCTTTTAGTATGGCACAGTACAGTTAATCATTACACAAGAGAACCATGTTGAACAAGTGCATAAGAAAATAGTGTTTGCAAATTCATTTCACTTCAGTGTTTGCAAATTCATATATTATAAAATTCTTGATGTTATTTCTCAAAAATAATACATTAAAGAGAGAGATTAATACTTTTACCATATATTTGCTTATGTGGGAAAAACACGATGTAGTTCTAAATTGAGCCAGATTAACATTTTAATAAAAAGTATGTAGATGGATGACATGCCTTTCAAAGGCATAATTTAGTGCCACTTACATAACTAGAGTAAAGAAAGGGAGGGAGATTGTCTTTGTGCTAGTTTGGCTCACGAATACATGAAATAGAACAGTTTGTCTAGATGAGCAGAAAGTATTCTTGAGGCCCTCTTCTAAGCTTGAAGGTAAATATCACCCTGCCTTCTCTTTGTGTCTTGATTGTTGACTAGTCCCTTAGTTAATTCCTTGCCTAAGACAATCTTTATCAATTCTCTTTGAAAGAGGACTTATCAGAGTGCAAATGTCAACTTGGCTTATATGAAATCATTTATACATTAACCAGGTGCAAATTTTTGCTTTGATACTTTTTTAAGTTTTTGTTTTAAATAGATTTGTAGAAAGAATAAGGACATAGAAATTGTTTACTAACACTGTGACCTATAGATAGTAAGTGCTTAACACAGATTTTGGACTTTTTGTTCAACTTGTTCCCCTTTACAAAGTATATGCTGTTTCTGTTTAACACAAATGAAAACTCATAATTCTTTCTGTGACAAACCTTAACCAGTTGCTTAGGATATAAAATCAAGTACGATCTGGTCCCCACATACAGAGAGATTCAAGGCAGATAAGGATGTCCAAAGAGGCAATACTGTGTGATAAGCGGTATGATAGAGGTTCCATTTAAAGTGGTGGTGGTATGTAAGTAGGCATCTGGACCTGGAAATGAGAAAGGGCATCACTAAGGAGATGATACAAATCTTAGGAGAAAGAAGAGCAAAAGTTTTCTATACCTGCGCTGTCCAATATGGCAGCCATGACTAGGTTGGCTAGGCAGAATTAAGATGCACAGTACACTGTGGGATTGGATTTTGAAGATTTAGTACAAAAAAAGTGAAAATATCTAATATTTTGTATCAATCACAAGTTGATAATATTTTAGATATATTGAGCTAAATAAAATATATTATGTCATTAGCATTATTTTCAGTTTCTTTTTACTTCATTACATGTGGCTCTTAGAAATTTAAAAAGTACTTATGGTGCATTATATTTTTATTGACCATTGCTGTTTGAGGCAGGGGCTATTGTGCATACTAAATCTCAGGAAAATAGTTTGGTATATTGGGAAACTATTAGTCATTTAACTGTAAAACTAGGATACAAGGAGGACAAGAAGTAAGTTGACAGGGTTTAGTGGAAGGCAGATTCTAAAGGGTGCTGTATCTCAGGCTAAAGACTTTGAAATCTGTCTTGAAGGCATAGTGGAACTATTTAATGAATTATCTACAAGAAGATTTTCTGGTTGATTTCCTTCCTCCGCATGGTCTTCTTTCTTGTACCATATTGCATTTATGAAGTATATTTTTATAGACTTGAGGACAGGAATACATGTACTGCTCTTTGACTCATTTGACTAAATTAGCTGTAAAATTCATTCATCAAGCCACCAAGGGAACCAGGACAGGGTACCTAAGTTGGTCAGGTAGTTGACTTCCATTCACTTTTTTAAAGACCCCCCTCCCCTTATAATAATGAATAAGTTGCAAATTACATTTGGAATAACTTGAATGCAATGTGGGATTAATCATTAATTAGATCAGTCATATACTTAGGGGACCAGCAAACAGTACCTCCAAAAGAAAAAAATAAAAGCATTAAAAATACAATAATTGATATTTTATAATGTTATCCCTTTCTATCTTTGTTCAGTGGGCTGTATTGCATTTGCTTTGAGTTCTGTAAGAAAAAGGTGGTTTAGGAGGTCTGTAAAGTTTTCATTGCTTGTGCTTCTAATAGCAACCAATTTGAATTGCTAATTTGAGAAACTCAGAAAGCTAAGAAATCACTAATTATTAGTAATCCCTAATATAGAATAATATATTGTAGTTGAATATCACCTTTTTTTAAGTGGGTGCTTTCATATGGCTTCCACCTGAACTCTTTCTCAAAAACCTATTCACTTGCTGCCTTTCTCTTCCTCCTAAGTTTGAAATAATTTAGATTATATAGGTACTCAACAAGCCAAAGTTTACTATTTAATGTCTGCACTGTCACTGCTTTAATTCATGATTGAATTCTAAGTCCAACCCCATTTGCAATCTGTACAGTTTCCTGTCAGAAAACATGATAATGGTATGCTAATTTAAAGGACAAATCTAGACATTATGATATGACTCAGTGCTTTAAACCAAACCCAGATGTGCTTGGGCAAAATGACTGTGCCATTTCACTGCTCTTCTCCATGGGTCAGTGTGCAGACTGGGAGCCAGGGACAGTATATTATCACGGACGATTATCAACTTCTTTCAAATGTATAATTCAGTTATTCTTTTTTTGAGAAAATAAACCAGTTGCCCACTTGGTGCTAGTGTTGTCAATCCTTTTTAGGAGCTATTTGAGCAGGATAAATATGTGTTACATCATCCCTTTGAGTTCAGTATTTATAAATATTCAGTTTCATGGCCAGATGAACAAATTCTAGAGATCTATGGTTAAGAACATCACAGAGTGCCCTTTGAATTATGTTAAAATGGTAGATATCACATAAAGTGTTCTTACGCACACACACACACTGAGGACAACAATCTCACAATTGAACATCAAGAAAATTTTTGAGATGATAGGTTAGTTTAGTACCTTGATCATAGTGATGGTCTGGCAGGTGTGTGCATACATCCAGATTCATCAAAATGTAGGCATTAAATATGTGCAATTTTGTATACCAATTATACTTAAATAAAGCTTTTAATGACTATCTGTATTCTGAGACTATAGCTTTATTTGCAAATTATCTTTTAATTGCATATGAGTTCTTAAGTAAACTAGTGTGAATTTGTTCAGGTTAGCTGTAGATGACTTTTGGTAGTACTTATGTGAAGTTAACTTTGGAAAACTGAATGCTATTATTTTGTTTCTTTTCTAAGAACACCCCTGAGAATGACTTCTGAATTAGATGAGTATAATCAATATTAAGAGTAGTAAGAAAAAAAGATTCTTAAAGTATTCTTTAAGAAGTATTTGTTGTTTCTGTCCATCTATATCTTTCTATGGGCATCTACCTTTCTGGCTTTATCATTTATTAAGAGTACTTAGGTACACTATTTTCTTACCTACAGTATTCATGGTATCTTGTGAGTGTGTGAGTTGTGTGGTACTGGAAATTGAATGCAGGGTGTACTAACCATGTACTCTACTACTGAACTATACCCTTGTCCCTATCTTGAGAATTTTTGAGAAAGTCATGTTGCAACTGTTCTGGAAACAAGAACAAATCTTTTATTATCAAGATGTATATGTTGTTTTCTTAAGATGCATATTCTACATGGAAATATAGAATCAAAGTTCTTGGAATCAAAATATAAATTATACCAGGCTCTCCCTTGTTGGTATCAAGCATCACAAGACATTTTAGTGAGATAAGCCATAAAAAAAATCAAACTCAGAACCTGGTCTCTTTGGAGTTCAATAAATCTTACTCCCCCCTACTGCTTCCTGACTTTTCTTAGTCTAACCTCTCTTACCAAGGGTAGTTTATTATTTGATGAGAAACATTGATTGTTTCCCCCCAGCTAACTGGGAGTCTCTGTGATCTTTTTATCTTATTTTACTATTGTTATGCTGGGGGTACATTGAGGCATTTACAAAAGTTCTTACAATATATCAAATATGTCATACTTGAATTCACTCCCTCCATCACACTCCTTTATCTCCCCTCCCTCCATTACTGGAAGCATTTCAGAAAATATCATTTTTCCATTTACATACATGTGTATACAGTATTTCTACAATATTCATCCTCCTACACTCTTTCCCCACATCCTCCCTGCCCCGCTACTGGTGCCAACCCCCCAAACAGGGTCCTGTTCTCTGAGTTTATAAAACACAAAAAAATGACATTTTTGTTTGTTTAAGGTAGCTATACAAGGAGTTTCCTTGTAACATTTCCATGTATTGCTCTTTTTGATAAAGATTTTGGTAATACAAAGTCAGTTAATTTAGTCAGCTTTTTTCTTATTTATCTACTGTGTTTCAGTATAACAAAGATTTACTGTAGCTGTTAATGCAATGTAAATCTTCAATTTTATTATCCATCCCATCATCAAACTAGCTTTTGTGAAAATTGAAGCTAAAAGTTGTTTGACAAATGTTCCATCCTCCTCAATGGTGAAAACTGGTCTGAAAATCATTTTTCAAGGAGTTTTTCCAAAGGTTTCAAGTTCCTTCAAGCCTTTAAGAAGTTGAAGATGTTATTAAGCATTTTGATTTCTTCCCCTTTCATCTCCTGTTTAGAAATTAATGTCTTGAAAAATTGACTGCAAATGTTAAGGTTTTTTTAAAGATATGAAATCAATTCATCTGTCTAATATAACAGTAATATGTTGAAAAGGACTGTTTCTTTTCTAGATATCTTGGCCAGTCTTAGAAAGATTTTTGTCTTTTCCTTCTAGAACTTCAGATGTCTTCTGTTTTCACTTTTAGCATTTGGAAAACAAAGCACTTCAATCATTTTCCCAAATGAGAACTTCATTTGAAAATTTCAACATGAAATTTTCGCTCTCTGTAAGGGAGCAGGACATTGCCCATTGCTGTGTTTTATAAAAATTGATGATAGACTAACACATAGTTTAAATGATTTTGGAGCAACTCTTTGATCTTTGATTTTCCGTTTCTACTTTCTAGGTCATGTCTTCTTTTTAGTGCAGAATGTATCAGTATCCATTAAAAAAGATCCTCTGGTTTCTCTTCTTTTTGTGGGATTATTGTTGTGCACAACTTTGTATAAAGCTGCAGTTCAGAAACTGTCCCAATATGTCTGCATATGGGTGTACATATGGTCGATTTTAGCTTTAACTTCAAATTTCCTTGACTACATAGTCTGTGTATATTCCCATAATGGTAGCAGAGCAATTTCCTTTCTATAGCTCAATTTCTCTCTCTCTTCTGCATTTCCCTCTCCTCTCCCTCTATACAGTAGTAACTTTCCTAAAAGGCTCATTTAAAAAATAAATCCATAACACCCATGCAAGCAGGCGCCAGGAAGTTTAAGTTTAGATAACCGTGCCATCACATTTGGCTGTTTGGCTGAAGCTGGAAGCGTAAATAGAATGGAATGTGATGTTATGATTCCCTTGCTAACGTGGGCAGTGCTGCTTCAGCCTGAGCCTCACCATCCGTTTCTATTTACTGACTGGCAGGACGTGCTGGATGCTCTGGAATAACACAGGTACAGCCTTCAATTGAGACGTATAATCCACATTGAAGTGAATTGGGCACCCAATCTGTTTGCTGTTGTTCACCTGGTCAGTTTTGTAGGCTCGGTAGCTATTGTGAGAGGAAGTATATTTTGCCAACTGTTTCAATGGAGTTCCACCTCTGATTTGCAGAGGTGACTTTTATGAGTGAAAACCAGCAAGCATGTAGCTATTCTACAATTCCTATACTTAAATCTTAAATTCACTTGGCTTTTCCTACGACAAAGTCTCATGCCTTACTTTCATTCTCCTTGTGTTGGAGAATCTCAGAGAGTAAGGATCACAAGTGAGCATCTTTGATGCAAGGAAGAGAACAGGGTGTTAAAAATGATTAATTGATTGGCAAGTGATTGATTTTTTACAACAAATATTCATTGAGATTCAGTCATGTTTCAGTTACACTTGTAGTGGTGAAAAGGAAAGATCTGGTCTCTACTTTCATGAAGCTTTCATTGTATTAGAGAGGTAAATATTGAACAATGAATTAACTATTAATTCTTTACTTACAATTGGACATAGAACTGCAAAGGAGAAAAAGGTTTCTATAAGAGGGGCTAATAGGAAGTCTGACTTCATCTCAGGTCTCAGAAGGGAAATGATTATTGAGCTTAAGATGTAATTCTAAAGAGGGTTTTGAGGGACATGATGGGAAGGATATTCCAGGTAGCAGCAGAAGAGCTTGTACCAAGGCTTTGTGAAGTAAGAAACACAGAATATACTGGGAGCCCATAGAATCTGGGTGTGACCAGAAACTGGAGTCATGAAAAGAATGGGACATAGCAGAAAAAGTCTGCCTAATGGGTGTTGTTAATGACTCAGATTTTTTATTAAAAGCTATGTGAAGCCATTGAAATGGTTTAGGTGGTAATTAAGGTAACTGGATTCTTTTGACTTAGCAAAGACCATTTTGACCACTGTGAAAGGATAGATTGGAGGAAGGAAAATATGGATGCAAGGATCCAAGTTAAAGGGTTACAAAGAGTCCAGAAAGAGAAGCTGACATTTTGGATTAGGGAAGAGGGAATAAAGGAGATAGACTAGAGAGAAATTTAGGAGATAAAACTCCACAGGACTTATTTAACGAATGAATAGATAGAGAGGACAAAAAGAGCAGCCAAGGGAGGACTCAGATTTTTGTCTTGAATGATGAACTGAAAGATATCACCTTAACTGATACAAAAGCATGATAAAAGGACCAGTGTGGAGAGGGTGAAGCTGGAGAGTTTGGTTTGCTATATTAGGTCCAGTTTGAGATGCTTAAAGGACAGCCTACCTGAGAGGTCAAGAGATGGTGGGTTATTTGAGTCTGGAGCTTGGGAGAACTTTAACCTTGATAAAACAGAGATAGAAGTGTTGTGTATGGTCATGGAAAAATGTGAACAGCTGTAGATGACCAATTAATCTAGGAAGCTATTAAGTCTCTACATTGTTCACTTACATTTCACAAGGGCTTATTAAGTGCTCACTCTTTCCAGATCATTTGATTAATACTGGGCCCATGAAAAGGAAGTGCATCCAATAAATATTGTAGGCTATCTCTTTGCCTTAAGCTTAAATGACTTCTTGTGCCATCCAAGAATGGGGACTCTCAATACACCCAGAAAAAACTCATGGGTGAGTTGAATCTGCATCTTGGTCCTGTGTTTCCTAGCCTTTAGTTTAGTCTAATTTAAATCTCTACAACTTGAAGTGCATTTTATTCTTTATTTGTCCTGGGTAGATCTATAAACTAGTTGGTAACCACAATCTTTATATTAACTCCCTGTGTTCTTTTTCTTAAACAAATCAAGCCATTTTTCATAAACATCACCCCCTTTGAGAGATCATCCATACCCTTTGTCTTTGTCTTAGAACAAGAGATATAGAATTGCTTCTTACACTAAGAATGCATCCCTGTTTTGCAACAAAAGAAATCTGTCCTCAGGTTACAAAGTATTCTTCCACCATATCTTGTAGGTTATAAATTACTGGAGACATTCAGATAATGATGATACTGACTTCACTTGGGAAAATTAGGCCACACCCTTCTAGTCCATTTCTAAAATAAGTCTAAATCTATTGGGAAAGTGAAATTTATAGACTCTCTTATTTAGTTAGCTCTTATTGTTCAGAGACCATGGTTTAAAATGGCCTACATTTTAAAACTACGTATCTTAATGATTGTTTTTAGACTGAATCATCAGAATCACTTTGGTGTATTTGTTGAAAATAAAGACTGTTGAATCTTATCTTCTATTTTTTTATTGTTTAGCTGGGACAAGCCCCAATAGTTTGCATTTTAAATAAACGTCCCAAGTAATTTTTATGTCTATTAGAGTTTAAGATCCATTCTTTTGAGGATATCAAACTGTTTCCATCTCATTAGAATTCTGAGTTGATAAGAAATTAGCTTTACAAGCTAGGTCAGTATTGCATCAATTTAAAGGACTAATAGTTGAGTCACAAGTGTCCAGTTATTTTAGAGATATTAGTCAGCTGTCCAGGGATTTAAAAAAAATCACACTGCACACACTTCTAACACACCAAAGTTCATGTGAGGGAAGAAGAGAATAGCTAAGAAAAGTAGAAAAGAGAGGAGGTAAAGAGAAAAATGCAGAGGTGAGAATGAAGAGAAATTGCAAGTCAAAGTTGGATCCCGTGTATCTTCCTTAGGCATAGTCTCCAGTTTGCTCTGGTTGGCACACTCTATGAGTTCTTCTTATGCACAGCTGTAAATTTTTGAGGCTTCTGAAGGTGCACCTTCTTCCCTAGCTTCAAAACTAACAAAAGTCTTTTCTTACTTTCTCCTCATAGGAAGAACGGCGTGTGATTTATGTTGGTAAAATCAGACCTGACACAACACGGACAGAACTGAGGGACCGCTTTGAAGTTTTTGGTGAAATTGAGGAGTGCACAGTAAATCTTCGGGATGATGGGTGAGAATCTTCAAGATTATTTCTTGTTTAGAAGCTGACGTATGTAAAAAATTATGGTCTTAAGATTACTGGGATGGGAGTTGCCAATGTAAGTGCTTTGACAGATGACATGTTGAGTTCAGAACCTTATTTATTTTCTTTCATCCCTATTTATTAATCTTTCTAGTTGAGATTTCCTGTCCTAGAAGTAAGTGTTTAGCTGCTTGACAGGACAATCACACTGATAAATGGATGCGCTGGCTGAGACGTTGGCACGAGCGACATCTTCCAAAGTAGAAGGGTTACAGTCCTCTATACGGGTGTTTTCTAAGCAGCTCTGAATGTCTCTTCTCTGCATTGCAGAGACAGCTATGGTTTCATCACCTACCGTTACACCTGTGACGCCTTTGCTGCTCTGGAGAATGGATATGCTCTGCGCAGGTCCAACGAAACTGACTTCGAGCTGTACTTTTGTGGACGCAAGCAATTTTTCAAGTCTAACTATGCAGACCTAGGTATGGTTTTTATTGTACAGTTTCGGAAGCAAGGAACTTGCATTTTGCCAGTGAAGCTCAGAAGTCAGTTCTTGTACTATCTGCACAGGTGCTGAAACCACATCTACTCTGTGTGTGTGTGGTGTGTGTGTGTGTGTGTGTGTGTGTGTCTGTTGTATGTATGGTCCATTGAGTAGATCCACATTTGTTTTAAGTTTTGTGTGTATTCTTTTTGTGTTTGTAATCTGCTTTTGCTTTCAGTGGCTGTCATTAATCCTTTTGTACAAATCATAGCATTGCTATCACTATCTTAGGGAACAGATTATGCAAGTATCTTCCTAATTTTTCCTCCTTATTCCACATGCTCTTAGAAACACTTTTTCTATGAATTGCAATTTGAGAGAAAAAGGGAAAATTTCATATGACCCCATACCCACTTTCTTTAGCAAAAAAGAAATAATGCTTATTATTTGTTGAGTGCTTTGATATGCTAGACACTGAGCCAAGAGTTCTATGAGCATTTACATGTTTGATTACCAAAATTATCGTTAAGAGGCAGTTATTATTGCTGCCATCACCATTTTACAGATAAGAAAATGAGACACATATAACAATTTGTTTTACTGTTAAAACGTGTTGTGAAGATTCAATGGGTAAAATTTGGAAAATATAAAAAAGTATTAAGAAGAAAAGTAAAACCACCTATCAGTCCATCACCCATAGATAACCACTATTTTGTCCTGAGGTGTCTTATTTTCTTATGGTTGAGGTCACATCACAGATAGATAGATAGATAGATGGATAGAGACAGATAGATTTAGATTCTGCTTTTTTCAATAGTATTATAAAAATTCATTTTCTGTGAGTCACTGATTAAAAACAATTTATAAATATATTTTAATGGTTGCAAAATATTTTGTTGGGCAAACAGTATCATTAAATTTAATCATTCCATGATAGTTACACATGTGTACAATTTTTAATCTTTTGATATTATAAATAATTTTACAATGGACATCTTAATTTCTTTCTTCTCTAGCTTTAATTTTGTTTGTTTCCTTGTAAGTCCCTATCAAATTATAAGCCTTTTAGTTCTCTGAGGAAGGAAGGAAGGAAAGTGGCAAATCGTTATGACATAATTATTTAAAATTCATTTACAATAAGCATAAAATTAGCATAAACATCTACTCTTCAGTATTTCTAGATGTCTATTTGCCATTACTCTGATGTGGTGGAGAGAAAGAAGGAAATACCAAATACTGGAATTTCTTTTTCCCCTTCTAACAAAGTGATGTCTTCCTATAGTAATTGATATAGGTGCTGTACATTGTTCAAGGAAATATGCTATAATTCACTTCACAAGCTAAATAGATGGTGGAAGCAGGGGAGAGGCAGATGACTGTTGGAGAGATAGAGACCTAGGGATGAAAATATAAAATGTGGCAAGTCATTTGTTCAAATGTTGGCTGATAAAAAGTCAAGACAGATTGAAGCCTTGAGTTGATTTGACTTATTATTATGATTTTTTTCAGTGTTGAAGGCTAAGGTGTTTCTAGTCTCTCAAAATATCTAGACTTTAAAATAAGATACCTAGAGGGGCCTTTTCAACACAATTCATCATGGCAGAGGGAGGATTGGATGGTATTTCCAAATTGAACTGGCACTTCCCTGAAATATTTCTAACAAGAGTGCGTCCCCTCTTGTTATCTCCCTGCCTAGCCAGCAGCCATAGAAACCTTGCCACTGCTAAGCTTGCTCTGTATTTTCAAAGTATATTTGATGTGTATTGTAGTAGCATGGGAATTTCCAATTCCTGCAAGCTCTACAGTGCCAGGAGGGATAGCTTTTCTTTCTTTTTTTTTTTTTTTTTGGCAATATTGGGAGTTGAACTTAGAGCCTAGCGCTTAATAGGCAGGTGTTCTACCACTTGAGCCATGCTCCAGCCCTTTATGCATTGGTTATTTTTGAGATAGGGTTATGCTTTATGTCTTGGCTAGCCTGGACCTCAATCCTCCTATTTGTGCTTATCTGTGTCGCTGGAATGAGAGGTGCATGCAACTGCATCCAGATATTGGTTAGATGGAGTCTTGCTAACTTTTTACTTCCACTGATCTTGAACTGTGATCCTCCTGATCTCTGCTTTCCCACCTAGCTGGGGTTATAAATTTGAGGCACACACTTGTGAGAGAAAGTTTTTTAAATATAATGCCCTGGCTGTGGAGTTTTAGCATCCTGGGTTTAAACAATTCAACTCCATTAGCTTCTGGTTCTTTTGTAAAATTGACTTATAACATTGTTGGGAAGCTATATTAAATAAATGTGAAGCAGTTAGTGCAGTGTGTGGCATAACCAAGATGCTCAATAAATAGTAGATATGATTATAACTAAAAGTGTTAGGAATGAGAAATAGGAAGGTAAAGCTGTTTAGAAATGGAAGAATCAACAAGGGCTAGCTCCAGAACTCAAGGAAATTTTCATGCGTCTTGTCTTTGTTCTCTGCATGATTCAAGCTCAAATGGTTCAAAGCATGCATGAGCACTAAATACAGAGAACATAAAAATATACTAGACACTTGAAGGGATTGGAAACTTACGTGTTTCAAGAGTAAAACAAAATGATGCGACCTATCTTTTTAGATAGGTTCAGAAATTATTTGGTCCTCCAAATGATGTTAGCTCATACATTCTATGTGTCTACATTACAAGTAGTTAATGATTACTACAATATTATTAGCGCAAGACATAGGGGTTCTAGCTACTATCTATGAGCCAGTTTTATCAATGAGACAGAAAGTGTAATGTGACTCAGTCAAGGCTACAGTGGTAAAGCCAGGATTTGAGACCTGGTTTATGTGATCTCTAGTTTGTGTTTTCTTTGTATTTGCTATCTTAAGAATGAATGAATCTTTCTTTAAAATTGATGAAAATATTAAAGAGAAGAGACAGAATTAAACCAGAAGGATGGATCACTATTATGAGTGTAATGGTTTTGATCAGGAATTAGTTATGGCATAGAACTTACGTTTCAACATGTAAGAAAAATGAAATAATAATACATTCATCACAAATTCTTTATTAACACAAAATTATGCTAAATAATCAGCATCTAGGATATATACAACTTTACATATACTCTTGCCATTTATTGGTGAATCATTTCCAGATTCCAACATGAATTTTTTCAACCATAGCTTTAATAATATGTGGGTATTCAAGACAAATATATGCACTCAACAAATATTAATTTGAGTACTTACCTTGTGCCAAAAGTTTTCTAGGTGCTAGGAATACAAATGTGATATGATTTATTTCTATTTGTGCAAGATCATTATTTATCACAATTTCTTTGGAAAAATAATTGGAGTGGCTTTCAGGTTACTCCTATAAAAATTTTATTATGTCTTACTGTGTTCCAACATCCTTCTGTTAGTGGGAGAAAACATGATGAAGTGAATGCTATGGCCTTAGAAATGGAATGTAACCCCATTGTGTTTCAGAAAACTGAAATAACCAATGGGAGGCATAGTATGCCTGTGTTAGTGGATATGTTAAAAATTCTTGAAAACTATTGTTTCACAGTGTTTTTTGTTTCTCAACGAAAATACAGAAAAAATAAAATTCTGGGCTTCACTTAGAATAATCCAAAGCTACGAAATTTAACTCTTCTCAAAATTTTCTTCCAGGAAACATTGTGTACTTGTTTTTCCTGGTCCCTGGTTGCCTTTTGTCATAGAGCTCACCCTCAGTGCCATATCTATCATGATTTATAAGGCAAATAGGATTCTAACTTCCAACTAATCTCTTGCACTGAGCTAGACTTTATTTACTTAGTTTTTGTATCTATAAAAGTAATTTTGATTTGAACAACAGCTACTCATGAAGCAAGCCATTCATTAGACCACTGAGAGAAGAGGTGGAAGCCAGTGTGATTTAAGAATTGACTAAGATGATACCGAGGAAAGATTAGCTATGTTTGCTTTTATTTCCATGTCCCAGTAAGATGGTAATTGTTGTTGTTGTTCTTACCTAGAAAACATTTTCTGGAAAAAAAAGGCAATACACAAGGGATTGAACAAGACTTTTTTTAAAGTGGAAAAATTTCTTTCTTTACATTTATGATCATTTCTTTAAGTAAAAGCTAATGTGTTATACTTGGGCCAGCCTGGAACATGATTCTCCTAGTTATGCTTCCTGCAGCCACTGCAATGACAGCCATGTACCACCATGGTCAGCCTTTTCTGTTGAGATGGGGTCTGACAAACTTTCTTGCCCAGGCTGTCCTGGAACTGGGGTTGTCCAAATTTCCACCGCCCACATAGCTAGAATGACAGGCATGTACCACCCCACCATGCCCAGCTCTTGGTTGAGATGGGGTCTCACAAACTTTTGGCCTTACATTGGAATTCTCCCTATCTCAGCCTCTCCAGTAGCTGGGATTACAGGTATGAGCCACTGCGCCTGATAAAACATTGTCTTATGTCAGTGATTAATTACACTTCCATTTTTATCCACTACTATGCTCTTCTGTCACTTGGAACATTTTTTATTGTAACTTACTGTGGGAAAACACAGAATGCTTATATATTTTATAGAATTATTAATGTGTTCCAAAAAGGCTTTATTTTCCCTTCAAATAAATGTTTGTTGAAGAAGGAATATATTTGCAAGAGAGCTTATGATTATATTTCCAAGCCACCCTTTCTCACTCACATGACTAGCAAGCAATATCTGACTTTTTCATAGATATCAGTGGAGAAAAGCAAGAAATAGCACAATTGCACGTAATATTCAACATTGCTAAAACACATCCATTTTGTTAAGGGTTGGTTGAAGTTGCATTTGAGATTTTACATAAAACCTGACTTGAACTAGTTTAAGGATCCAAGAAAAAGTGTGATTCTGTTATTCCTTTATTTATATTTGTCCTCTCTTACTATGGAGTAAGAGGCTGAATGTACCCTCTTGGGATATGACTTCTAACTTGTGGGGAGTTTGCACCATTATTCTGTGGTACCCAGAGGCATTGGGGTAAATGACTGCATAATTTGCTCCTCTTGCCTCTAAAGTATATGGCAAGTTAGAGATATGGGGATATTCTGGATGATTTCCTCCCAGTTAAATAGCATTTCTATTTAATGAAATTAATCTCATTGAATAGGAGAATTATTTCCAATTTCTACTTGTACCTCTACATCTAAGTTACTGAGGAACCATTGGCAAGTCACTTAACATGTCGGAAGCAAGAGGAGGATTGGGCGGGTATCTATGAAATAGTGAAATTAAAGTCTGTTCTGCCTACATCTCAGGAGTATTTCCATCTAAAACCCATCAATAGGTGTCTGTTTTTGAAAGCTTACCACTCTATCCTATTTCTATACACTTTTGTACACATCCAATAAAATCCAAACCTTATTTTTTTTAAGTATATTGATTGGGTAAATTACATTGAATGAGGTAATCTTGAAGTGGAATGATTGTCTTTATGGGACCAGCAAAGGGTACATCTAACCTAGCTTGGATTTTCTTTCAGATTCAAACTCAGATGACTTTGACCCTGCTTCCACTAAGAGCAAGTATGACTCTCTGGATTTTGATAGTTTACTGAAAGAAGCTCAGAGAAGCTTGCGCAGGTAACATGTTCCCTGGCTGAGGATGACAGAGAGATGGTGAATACCTCACAGGACAGCGTCCTTCCCTAATGGACTATTGCAAGTTATACTTAAGAATTTCTCCTACTTTACACTCTCTGTACAAAAACAAAACAAAACAACAACAATACAACAAGAAGAAGAAGAACAACAATGGTTTACATGAACACAGCTGCTGAAGAGGCAAGAGACAGAAAAATATCCAGTAAGCACATGTGTATTCATGGGTATCAGCTTCGCTTTCCCTGGAGTCTCTTGGTGACAGAGTGAGTGACTGAGTGTGAGTGTTTGTGTGTGTGTGTACATGGTTTGGGGAAGTATGTTTGTGTACACGTGAGGATTGGGGGCACCTAACCAGAATGTGCAAGGGCAAACCACTTGAAATGGCAGCCGTTCCATGAAGACACGCTTAAAACTAGAACTTTAAAATGTTCATATTCTATACAAAAGGAAAAAATATATATCAATTAAAAAGGCAAGAAAACTAACCAACCAACCACAAACCACCCTAAAATGACACTGCTGATGTCTGGCATCGGCCTCTGTACTGTTTTTTAACAAAGTGCAAAACCAACTTGCAAGCAAGCTTTCTCTTGTAACTTAATGATTATGTGACAATCCCGAAGAAACAACAGGTTCCATAGAACTAATACCCTGTCGCCCTCTCTCTTTCCCTCCCTCTCTCTTTTTCTTTTTCCTTTTGCCATGGAATCTGGGTGGGAGAGGATACTGCAGGCACTCGAATGCTAAACTTTCCTAACATTTTGAAGTTTCTGTAGTTCGTCCTGTGTCCTGACACCCATGTAAATGTCCAAAATGTTGATCTTTCACTGCAAATTTTAAAAGCCTTGTCAATGGTCAAGCGAGCAGCGTGTTCAGCAGTTCTCTCTCTCTCTCTTTCTCTCTCTCTCTCCGAGGAGCGGACACGGTGTTACATTACTAATGAGAGTTGAGTAGAACTCTCTGGATGTGTTCAGATAGTGTAATTGCTACATTCTCTGATGTAGTTAAGTATTTACAGATGTTAAATGGAGTATTTTTATTTTATGTACATACAACAATGTTCTTCTTTTGTTACAGCTATGCACTGTAAATGCAGCCTTCTTTTCAAAACTGCTAAATTTTTCTTAATCAAGAATATTCAAATGTAATTATGAGGTGAAACAATTATTGTACACTAACATATTTAGAAGCTGAACTTACTGCTTATATATATTTGATTGTAAAAAAACAAAACAAAACAAACAAAAGACAGTGTGTGTGTCTGTTGAGTGCAACTACAACAAAATGATGCTTTACTCACATCCATCCCTTCTTGGTGAGCTTCAATCTAGGCATCTTGTCAAAAAATATCCTAATCCCCTAAAGGTATTAACCACTTCTGCGATATTTTTCCACATTTTCTTGTTGCTTGTTTTTCTTTGAAGTTTTATACACTGGATTTGTTAGGGGAATGAAATTTTCTCATCTAAAATTTTTCTAGAAGATATCATGATTTTATGTAAAGTCTCTCAATGGGTAACCATTAAGAAATGTTTTTATTTTCTCTATCAACAGTAGTTTTGAAACTAGAGGTCAAAATCTTTTTAAAATGCTGTTTTGTTTTAATTTTTGTGATTTTAATTTGATACAAAATGCTGAGGTAATAATTACAGTATGATTTTTACAATAATTAATGTGTGTCTGAAGACTATCCTTGAAGCCAGTATCTCTTTCCCTTGGTAGAGTATGGTGATGGTATTTATCTGTATTTTTTACAGTTATGCATCCTGTATAAATACTGATATTTCATTCCTTTGTTTACTAAAAAAACATATTTATCAGTTGCAGATAGCCTATTTATTATAAATTATGAGATGATGAAAATAATAAAGCCAGTGGAAATTTTCTACCTAGGATGCATGGCGATTGTCAGGTTGGAGTGTAAGTTCTTCATTTGGGAAACTCGGCTTTCGCAGAAGCAGTGTTCCTACTTGCACTAGCATGGCCTCTGACGTGACCATGACGTTGTTCTTGGTGACATTGCTTCTGCTAAATTCAATAAAAACCTTCAGAAAAACCTCATTCTGAGCATCAAGATTTCGTCTGAGTGTGGAGTCCCTGCTCTGGAATTCACTAAAGTTTGGAGTGTGTATTCAAGTTTCCAAATTGAGATTTGATTACTGTTTGGCTGACATGACTTTCCTGGAAGACGTGATATACCTACTACTTAATTGTTCTTTTCCTTTCTCTCACCCAACACGATCTTATAAGATGGGTTTCACCCCCAGCCCAAGGCAGCTCGTTTTGATAGCTGCATACATTTATCACCAGCATATTGTGTTCTGAGTGGATCCACCGTCTGTCTTGTCGGATGCTTGCTCAAGTTTTTGGCTTCTTATTTCTAAGTAGATAGAAAGCAATAAAAATACTATGAAATAAAAAAACTCTGTTCACAGGTTCTGCGTTACAACAGTAACACATCTTTAATCTGCCTAATTCTTGTTGTTCTGTAGGTTAAATGCAGGTATTTTAACTCTTTGTGAACGCCAAACTCAAGTTTACAGTCTTTCTTTCTGAATTTTGAGTATCTTCTGTTGTAGAAAAATAATATAAAAGACTATTAAGAGCAATAAATTATTTTTAAGAAATCAATATTTAGTAAATCCTATTATGTGTTCAAGGACCAGATGTGTTCCCTATTTTGCCTTTCAATTTTTGTGATCCAATTTTAAACACATGCTCTTTTTTGCCCTGGATTGTTGACATGAGTGAAATACTTGGTTTCATTTCTTACTTATCAAAAGATAACACTACAAATTTCACATTGAGGATTAATTTGTCCCCGCTCTGGCCTGACGAATATTGTTCTCATGAAGATAGTTTTCCTCCATGGACTTCAAATTGCATCTAAAATTAGTGAGCTTTTGTATCTTATGCAGACACTGTGGGTAGCCCATCAAAATGTAAGCTGTGTTCCTTTTATTTTAATATTTAATTTTTAGAGAGACTATTTCAAGTGAACACATGCACCCCATCATCACTGGAGGCAAATTTCAGCATAAGTTTATAGGATTTTTAGGTGACCATGGGCCATTGCCTTCATGCTGTGGTAAGTACCACATCGACAATTTTGGTAACTGAACTGGTGCTTTAGATATGTGGGGTTTTAAAAAGACATGCAGCAGAATAACTCTTCCAGTGCAACACAATCAATTTTTTGCTAAATGACTCTGAGAACAACGGCTGGGCTGTCAACATTCAAAGCAGCAGAGAGGAAACTTTGCACTATGGGGATGATGTTTGGGTCAGTTGAAAGAAGGAAACCTTTTCATGCCTTTAGATGTGAGCTTACAGTAGGTAATGACTATGTGTCCTTTTTATGATGGCTGTAACGAGAACTTCAATCACTGTAGTCTAAGACCTGATCTATAGATGACCTAGAATAGCCATGTAATATAATGTGATGATTCTAAATTTGTACCTATGTGACAGACATTTTCAATAATGTGAACTGCTGATTTGACGGAGCTACTTTACGACTTGTAGGTGAAAGTGTAATACTGTTGATCGAACTATGCTGAAGAGGGAAAGTGAGCGATTAGTTGAGCCCTTGCCGGGCTTTTTTCCACCTGCCAATTCTACATGTATTGTTGTGGTTTTATTCATTGTATGAAAATTCCTGTGATTTTTTTTTT